CCCCATCTCTCTCCCCATCACCTTGGGCCCCCCAAACAGAAGTGTTTTGGTATATCCAGTCAAGCGTTTGTCCGTCTACCACTTTGACATGTTCGTCCTGTGTGACAACTCCCCGGCCTGTGGACGAGCTCAAAGACTCTTTTCTTGAGTGGGTGGTTGGCGGGTGCCCTGATGTGGTTTGCTCCTTCTTTCCTATCAAACATCTATTGTCCTTATCTCTCCTCCTTCTTTTTTGTGTATGTTACTCTCTTGTAACATTATGATATATTCTTCGGCACTATTATGACCTTATTGTGTTACAAGTGCCGTAAAAAACCTACGAGATTGAAAAAAAAATAAAATATATGTAGACAAGCACAAAGACTCATTTCATGAGTGGGTGCACAGTGAAACAGTTTTCGTTTTACTCTGAGTTTGACGGCACTTGCAACACAATTAGAGTTAGGTCATATAAGTGCCGACGATTAGAGGTGTGTCTTCTAAAGAGTAATAGTCAAAGAGGAGGAGAGACTGAGACAATAGACGTTTGATAAAGCACCCCGCCCCGCCCCCCTAAAAAAATGACATAAAATAAAAAATTCGTCTCAGAATGCATCGGCGTCTGTGGTGTAGCGGTTCAGCGCTTTGCCATCACACACACACACACAGACACAGATGTCCCGAGTTCAATTCCCGTGTGGGGAGATGTTTATCGAGTATCTCGGTCTTTCTGCTGGGATATGCTGTATCCCTCTTATCTCGGGTTGGCCCTGACAGGTAGGATCGAAGCCCGCCTCCTAAATGATTTAAATTGTGTAGGTTGGAGCGTAAAAAAACTACATTAAAACATAGTCTGAATGGACAACTTATTTGAGGTCTTTAAAATGACTACATTAAAAATACAAATCTGAATGTATAACTTAGTTATTGCTTCTTGTTTAGAGTGTCCCAAAATAGCGCGTCTTTAAGCCGTGTGCAATGACCATAATGCTTGTCTTCACTCAGCAGTTAAATCGCTTCGACTCCAATTACATCCTAGATCGGGCACTGTCATAGCCACCACTCTTTGTGGCCTATGAAAAATTGTTTGTTTTTTGTTTTAGTAGAGGTTTTACGGCCCTCGCTACTGCATAAGGTCATATGGGCGCAAAGGGGTGGATGTCAACAGAGAAGTCCTTACGAGGAATCAGGCTTAATCAGCTCACCTCTCTAGCCTCAACAGCACAAAGTCTGCTTCGACTATCAAGGCACCCCGGAAATAGCGGGTCACAAGAGAGTGGCAAACATACAAAAGAAGTAGAGGAAAATGACAATAGTAAGGATGGGGAAAGAAAAAGCAGCATTTCCCCCTATGTTGTTCCGGCACAGTATGAGCATGGCTTTGATAAATCAACCCATTTACAATTCTACTGTGCCTAAGAACATGTTAATATCCCCCCTTTGGGAATTGCCTAAAGACAATTTCTTCAGTCAGTAGCACCTCCTTATTTGTGGGGGGGGGGGGGGGGGGTTCAGCGATCTCTATGTGTTTATTGTTATCCTTTCTTTCGAAAGTAAAGGGGAAAAAACCAACCCCCCCAAAAGCGGGGGGCCCCCCCAAACTTTGCCTCTTTGACTTTCATTTGGTTCCAAATAATAATATAGTCAAATGCCCACCACCCCCCCCCCTTCCCAATCGTGAACCGGAATACCGTGTGGATGGTTGATGGGTGCTCTTGTGTGGTTTGCTCCTTCTTTCCTATCACAAATAATTATATCGTCCTTATCTCTCCCTTTTGTGTTTCTGGCTCTCTTGTAACACCTTTATTCTTCGGCGCATATAATAATAAAATGACGTAATCGTGTTGAACGGAAACTTTTCTGCTCTAAACTGCCTCCCTTCAGCTCCTTTACACAGTCTGCTTTTGTTTCCACTTTCTGCCCCCCTCCCCCCACCGCTCACGTCCTCCTTTGCCCCCTCCTCTGGACTCCTGACTCTTTCTGCAGCCTTTCTACTGCTACTCCTTGTCTCCTACTCGCTGTTTTTTCAGCCACTCTCCCGATCTTCTGGTAGGAAAGATCTACACTTAGCCTTCTCGGACAAGGGCGAAAACTCTCGGAGGTCCCGTGCACAAGTTGCGCCCGTTAAAAATCCCTTGATGGTCCAAATTCGACAAGAGGAGGCTTCGGCCGCCATCCGGGCAAAATTCAAAATTACCTACCAACTGAAAATAATGTTTAATGTTTCCCGCGCGCACATATGACCTTATGCAGTTGCGAGTGCCGTAAAACACTTACCAAAAAAAAAAAAGAAAGAAAAAAACACAACGCGTTGTTTTTCACTGTGGTTTTCTTCCTCCCTGCCACCCCCCCCCCCCCCCCCACGACCCCATGTTACTCCGCTCGTCCTATAATCTGCTGGGACCCTCTTGCTGTGACAGGCTGCAGTGTCCAGTGGTGTGTCCTGTACTGTTCAGTGGTTCGGACAGTGGTCATTCTGTGGTTTATGTATGTGTACCGTGTATATGTGCGACCACTGGAGTGTTTTGTTTTAGCTTTAGTTAGTGTTTCACGGCATTTGCAACCCGAAAAGGTTATACGAGTACCGAAGATTAGAGGTGTGTCTGTGAGTGGTTGGTGGGTGCTCTGGTGTGGTTTGCTTCTTCTTTCTTATCAAATATCTATCTTCTTTATTTCTCCTCCTGTTTTGTGTTTGTTACTCTCTTGTAACACCTCTTATCTTCGACACTTATATGACCTTATTGTGATGCAAGTGCCGTAAAACTCTTACTAATACTAAAACTAAGAGGTGTGACTAGAGAGTAACTTGCAAAGAATAGAAGTTGGAGAGATAAGGAAGACATGTGTTTTTTAATTAAGAAAGAAGGAGCAAACGGCAGCAGAGCACCCGCCAGCCCCCACGACCTGTGGAATGTGCAGCAAACATGTACAGGCTGTGTCGGCCGAGTGTGTGGTTCTTTGATGTGGGAGGTAAACTATGGCAGTTATTTCTCAGATTTGTTAACAATGGCAGTCATTTCTCGGATTTGTTTACAATGGCAGTCATTTCTCGGATTTGTTTACAATGGCAGTCATTTCTCGGATTTGTTTACAATGGCAGTCATTTATCGGATTTGTTTACAATGGCAGTCATTTCTCAGATTTGTTAACAATGGCAGTCATTTCTCAGATTTGTTTACAATGGCAGTCATATTGGGTTTGTTTTGGTGTCTGGTTTGTCTACAAAATAGCAGTCAAGTGTAGGATTCGTTAACGATGGCAGTCATGTGTCGGATTTGTTTACAATAGCAGTCATGTTGGATTTGTTTACAATTGCAGTGGCGTCGGTAGCCTAGTGGTTAGGCTACCGGACTCGTATTCGTGAGGGAATGTGGGTTGGGGGGGGTTCGATCCTCTGCTCGGTTCGACGTTGTGTCCTTGGGAAAGGAACTTTACACGAATTTCCCATTTGGCCTGGTCCTTTCGGAGACGGACGTTAAACTCGGAGGCCCCGCCTCTTAAATAACCTAATAGTGTTGATAGGGACGTTAAACCTATACCATTTCACCAATTTACAATAGCAGTTAAGTGTCAGAATTGTTTACAATAAGTCATGTTGGGTTTGTTGACCATAGCAGTCATGTGTTGGGTTTGTTGACCACAGCAGTCAAGTGCCGGATTTGTATGTAATATAACAAATTCATGTTTCGTTTGGGGGTTTTTTCAGAGGGTTACTCTATTACTTTGTTTTTGTATGTAACGTAATATATCAGATGTTTGTTTTGTTTCTCCAGAAGGTCACTCCATTTTGTTTTTGTTCAGATGGTTACTTAGACAATTTTGTTTTTGTTTGTAACACAATACATTAAATGTTTTGTTTTTGTGTTTCCCCAGAGGGGTATGGCGTGAACCAGGCCAACTACCTGAGCAAGGAGCTCAAGCCTCAGGTGAAGAAGGTGGTGGTGGACACAGCCAAGGAGTGGCCCATCTACTTCTGCCGCCTCTTCCCCATCGCCGTGAGTAGATAGATAGATAGATAGATAGATAGATAGATAGATAGATAGATAGATAGATAGATAGATAGATAGATAGATAAACAGACAAGTAAATAAATAGATAGACTAAATAAATGAATAAATAAGTAAATAAATAGATTAATTAATTAATAAATAGATAAATAAAAAGTAAAATAGTAAATAAATAAATAAGTAGATAAATAGATAAATAGATACATTTCATAAATAGCATGTGTACAGCGCATACACCCGCCAAAAACAACAACAACTCTATTGTGCTTTCTCTCCGGTTTTATGCCCAAACAAATTCTGAAGCCCAAAAAATGTGAAATTTTCCGATTCTCTTAATTCTAACAAAGAATGATAAAGGACAATATTCAGAAATTATGCAAAAAATGATCAAATTTTGCTAAATTATGCGGGGTGCATAAAACCCCGGGGACAGATTGTGGGCTTTACAACCTGGAACACCCAGAAATATTCTCGGCGCACGCGTACGCGCGCGCACACACACACACACACAA